GTCTTTGTAAACATGATTAGAAGCTAATATAGATTAAGGGGGTCGACTGAATGGGTTAACCATCAGATTTTCGACTGACCCCTCTTCTTCTTCTTCTTCTTCTTCTTCTTCTTCTTCTCCTCTTCCTGTTCGGACTACTGTAGCAGCAGTCGAAATAGAAATTAATTGTCTACCATGATGATCTTATAGTGGTTATAGGTAATCTGCTGGAGGATTATGAGAAATTCAGTGGTCAGTTGGGAGACTCTTGTACCTTCATATGACTAGACTAGGCATATCTTTTGTAGTGAGTGTGGTAAACCAATTTATGCATGCTCCTAGTTGTCCACGTCTTGTTGTCTACTAATGGGATTTTTGCTTACTTTAAGGGAAGTCCAAGCAAAGGAGAGTTGTATTCCTGCCATAATCACAAGACACTAGAGGTGTTTACTGATGCTTATTTTGAAGTTTCAATTGATGATAGATGTTCCACTTTTGGTAATTGTACTTTTCTGAGTGGAAATTTAGTGTTACAGAAGAGCAAGAAATGTCAAAAGTTAGACCTGTGTCCAGTCTACCCCTCCCAAGACCCCAGATACTTAGGACCAGCATTGGGTAATGGCCTTTTAGAAGAGCAAGAAATAGTTCACAGTTGCCAAGTCAAGTGCTGAAGCAAAGTATAGGGCAATGGCTCACAGTATCTCCAAGAATCTTTGGCTATGTTGATTACTTGAAGAGTTAGGCATTACTTATGACAAACCACTGATGTTGTACTATGATAACCAAGCTGCAATTAATGGCACACATAACCCTATCTAGCATAACTAAGTGAAGCACCTTGAGGTTGATTGTCATTTCATTCAAGAAACAGTGTTCTTTGGTAAAGTGTATTCCCATTTGTCAAGTATGATCTCCAGCTAGCTGATAAACAAAGGTGTTGCAAAGCCTAAATTTGATCATAATCTAGGCAAGCTAGGCATGTTTGTGCTTTGTACAAGCAGGGGCCAGGGGTATTCTAGCTACTTTCTTGTAAGAAGAATACTAATATCAACCTCTTCTTTCTATTCTCTGATTTGTATCTATTTACAACACTTTTAGTGAATAAATTAAAAAACTCAAATAATCTCCAACATTCCCAAGATAGATGTCAGACTGACACCAAAAGTTTCTGTATACATGCATGTGGATGCACACCCCCCTTCCAACACAAATTTACATAGATAAATTGTTATATCAGCTAATAATACATTATTAGTGTTCAATGCATACTTTTATAATTCTAAAAAAGTTTATTGAACTAAGGCCCCGTTTGGTTTGCGGGAATAGGGGTCTGGAATCGGAATCGGAATGGGCTATTTCGATTCCAACTGTTTGGTTGGGCGGAATTGGAATCCCATTCCCATACCTTCCAGAAGGGAATTCCCCCTTTTGAGGGAATGGCCATTCCCTGCCCCTCCCTTGGGAATGAAATCCCATTCCTGCTGATTCTGATTCCCATTCCCATTCCTGTCTGAACCAAACAGACTATGGGAATGGACCATTCTGATTCCGGAGGATTTCGATTCCAATTTTGACTGAGAACCAAACGGACCCTAAATTAACTAATGGTCTTCTAACATGGAGCAAGTTCAAAATGAAGTATTATAGAAGAGGTTGTCAAAAATACTGGTGATAAAACATAAAGCATCAGATTCAAGCATATACACAAGATCATGCTTTGCAATACATGGGCCAGAAGATATGTCATTGCTGATAGAGGAAAAGATTATTTACAGGGAGCAATGTTTTAAAAAAATGACCCGGAAACGGAACCGTTCTGGCCACTGATTTCCGGGTCGACGGTCTGACTGTCCAGTTCGTACAGACGGCCCGTTCTGACAAACAAATTAAAAAAATAATTAAAAACTAAAAAAACGGTCAAAAACCATTGAATGGGTCGACGGTTCGACTGCTCGGGTCAACGGTTTGTTGACTTTTTCAACGTTTTTTGACCAAAACCGGGTTTTAGGTAAAACGGAACCGGTTGCTTGGATGGTTCCTGGGCCGAACGGTCCAACCGTCTGGGTCAACGACGGTTCAAAAACCTTGATAGGGAGTACTTTGTTATGTGCCTTGGGAGAACTCACCCCTAAAAGCTAGCTGTTTGAGGGAGGGAACCCAAGCACATATATATCCCACAACAGCATCCCATACTACTAATGTGGGACAAATGGATTGTAACATTCCACCATGCTCCGCAGAGTCCCGGTGCCCACGCAGGCTGGCTTTGCACTAATCCACCTATTCCCGGCTGAACACTGCAATACCGATATCACCACTTGCGCCGCACGATTGCAACTGGGAGGCATAGTGTAGGCTCTGATACCATTTGTTATGCCTTAGGAGAACTCACCCCTAAAAGCTAGCTGTTAGAGGGAGGGAACCCAAGAACATATATATCCCACAACAGCATCCCATACTACCGATGTGGCATACATCACATTAGCATCCCATACTACTAATGTGGGACAAATGGATCGTAACATTATGGGAAGGAAGATTCTGCCCAAGAATTACTTTGGCGGGACGATCTAACTAGAAAGGTCATACACAAATATGGGTGATGGAGAACCTACATAGGTTTAGTTCACATTTAATAGGGGAACCAAAAACCAGAGTTCATATTCACATAGAAGATGTAAGATGCATGATGTATACTGATTTCCTCTTCTATGTAGCAACTTAAACTGGTAAGTGTTAATGTTTACAACAAATTAGGTTAATGTTCCTTGGTTGAATAAACTTAGAACATTATCTGTTGTGAGAAGCCACTTAAAAGAACTAAAAAGTACCATGCATGGACAATCAAGCTTTTGATGCAATGTTCACCTTGTTGCCAATTTTCCAACCTGTCATCAACAACTGTTGGCACCACTTGATCACTTGAAGTTAAGATATCTGCTTCAGGAAAGCGAGCAAAATATGGGAGAGGATTCTGTTCCATGGAAAAGACAAGCAATAAATGATGAATCAGAAAGGAAAATCTAGAGTGGAAGGTAGAGGTAATACAAGAAAAAGAGGAGTTGAAATACAGCTATCCATTACAAACTTATCTTGTGATGATCCACATGCAGAACAGCAAAGAAACTATACATAAAGACAGAATTCTTGGGAGATTGTTTGTCATTCTAATATCTTATGAATAGTTAAGATGGCACAGGAGATGTTACAAAAATAGGGCTTTTTTTCTTTATTTCTTACTTCATTCAAATTGTTAACCATGAACAGTTGAACAAAATAAGGTATGGATTGTATTTTCTTTTTTTTCGAAAGAAAGGTATAGATTGTATCGATTACTATGGGGAAACCCATATAGAAATAATCTTACCCACACTAGATTTGGCCCTCACCTTGAATGTGTTTCAAGACATGATTGAGTAGACTATTAAAGGGATTGGTAACCTATTTATTTGAAAGGAGGTTTCAATGAACTAATCATCTTTCAATTTTATTCGGGAAGCAATTCACCATAAAATACCTTCAGGGTTTTGATTCTACATCTAATATAGTAACTTTTATGAAAGAAAAACAAAAAGCAAATCCTTGACTGATGAACCCACTAAATTTATCTACAGTTGGACAACTGAATTAGTGAGTAGGAAGAAGAAACTCTTGGCATCCCAGCTTATAATAAGACCATTTTTTAGTTTCTTTTCCTTTTTCTTATCTATAGGTAGAAACAGAAATAGTTCATTCACACTAATAAGTGACAAACCACAAACAATCATGCAAACAAGGCAGTGGTAGGCTCCAAAGGAAAAATCAAAACATACCTTTAACCAAACCATGTCTGTGTCACACATCAGTAGCTCATAGCCAAAAGGCAGCATGGAATCTATCAAAATAACTTTTTCTCTCCCCATTTTGTGAAATGTTGGTGAACCCCAACCAACATCTATTGTGCTCATATGACTGCCCATATCAAATACTGGAACACCTTTCCAGTATAAGGCCTCCAAAAGTTTCGTATCCATTGCACCTATAAAAAGAAAACAGAATTTCTTTACCACAAGAATTGAATAGCAGGAATAGGGTAAAGTTGTATTGAGTTGCACACTTGAAGTTTCATGAAATTACCTACAAGAAAATTAGAAAGACCAAGATCGGTCAAGTGTTTAACCCAATTCATGATAAAATCCATGAATGCATAGTTTCCAAAGGTTACAATGATAATATTATCTTTCACTCTGTGGCTGACAAGTTCTTTTGTCAGACGAAAGGCCTTCAAAGGCGGCATTTTGGTACCAGGAGGTGGAACTTCCCATATTGGCTTTGTCCATATACTTTGAGGTTGTGATGCAGGCCCAGTAACTCCAACCCCTGCAAATGGTCTAGAAAAGTTGAGAGCATGTTCCAATTGAGGAGCATCTACACCTGAAAAAGAATTTCCTTTAAGATATTAAATGGCAAAACACTAAAAACAGAGAGGATATCATCACAAAAGATGCAATTTGGAGGCTTTGGAGCCAAAGTTCTATGGAACAAACTTTCCTGATGATATTTGAATTTATAAAGATATGATGTAACCTTGTGATATAAAGTCACCACTTGAACTGGCAATTCTAAATTGAGCGCCTCAATAAAATGAATGGAAAGTTAAGTTACACCAGATAGGCCAAGTTACAGTTCCAAATACCAAAACAAAAAAAGGATGTAGTAGAAAGATGCATGTCTTAAAATGCATAAAAATATACCTTTTAGGGTTCCCATATGTAAGCTGACCAACCCTAAAGAAGAATTGAATTTTAAATAGGAAAAAAATTAAGGGATACAAGGACACTAAGAAAGACCAAATGATATGAAGAAGCAACTTATAGAAAAATACCATCAGTATAATCTCCAAACTTACTCCTTTTCCATTGACCTCCTATATTTAATTCCCATAATGCAAAGATAGTACTATCATGAACTGTGGAAGTTCCTCTCTATTTGAATTATTAAAACTGCAAGCATTTCATTGAAACCAGTTTCATCTTGAGGATAAAATTGATCTTAATGCCTAGAAACCTAACTGATACTCGCAATTTCTCTTAACTCGATCAAAATTCAACCCATTAAACCAAGTAACAAGACTAGGAGAAATTAAAGACTAGTAATTCAGAACCTACAAAAAGAGGATCAATTCAAAAGGAGAAAACACCATCAACCAGAAACAAAATGAGACTTACGTGAAAGAGATGAGGAGGACCAAGGGATAGAGTATATTGTCTTGCCCGAGTAAATGGCGGAGAAGACATAGACAGACGATAATGCGATGCCAACGAGGACCGTGGCATAGATGGTTACAAACAGTGGCTTCGAATTGGCAGCGTCCTGGAAAGGATTCCAAGCCATGGCCGGATAATTTACAGGCAAATTTGAAAACTGAGAGATCAATTTCTCGTTATAACGAACCCATCGTCTTCGTCACAAAGACTATGAAGAATTGCAATTACAAAATGAGAAACCCTAACTCAAAAACTTCAATTAAAATTTCCATCATAGCAAGCCCTAAATAGGATTTGACTTCCCTCAGAGGCCGAAAGCAGCCGAGAAATGTCAAGCTCCATAACTGTGATGAGAGCTCCCAGAGGAGAGAGAAAACCTGCTCCCTCTTTGACTTCACCAACTCCGCTACTGTATATTTTCTTTATTTAACGACCGTTGATCAATTCAAGATTGTCGCAAAGTCGGAAGCATTTTAATAAGATGAGACGTGATGCACTGTATGAGGCATATATATTATAACCATAAAAACGAGAAGTAATGGCAATGCACCATAATCGAGGTAATCTGTGTTTAATCAATGCTTCATTTTCTGGAGGGGACGAAAGGTGCTCTGCTCTGTTTTTATTGACTCAGGGCTCTCCAGTCTCCAGTGAACAACTGAACACCGTAACGTGACAGATTCCGAGTGTTTTATTTCCCAATAGATGATTTAACAGTTATCACACTCTACAACTTGGACGGACGGGTTCGGGTCGAAAAATTCTCCAGTTTTGAAAATATTGATATAAAGGGAAAATATTTAAAGTTAAGTCTTTAAGTTGAAATATAATTGATTTGTCAATAAAACATGCTTCAAATTTTTAATCTATTTAGGTCGAATTTTGGGAATATTATCATCATCATCATAATAATAATAATAATAATTTATTACTATTATTATAATTATTTGAAATTATCACGTGCAATACAAATGTATGCATATTTTTTTCTTCTTTTTTTTTAAATGATAAGATAATAAAATTTATTAAAACACAGAAAGAACAATTTACAAATATGTAGAGTGCAAAACTAATCTTGTATTTTGTATTATTTTGTATGTATTTATACTATACATATTTGTATTTGTACTCCTTCCAAACTGAACCCAAAATTAAGTCTAGGCACTCACACAAAACAACTGTATAAATCAAATGACCCTAGAGCTTGTATTAAAAAAAAAATGACCCAAAAGAAGTTTGGGCCAACAAATATTGACCAAACTTGAGCCAAAAGAACAAATTACAATCCTAAAAGAGCTTGATGACCCTTATAGGGGTGCAACTCGGATTGGCCTGAGATAGCATTTTGCACTTCTTTGCGCCCGGGCTTTTAGACTTGGCCCATTCGAATTTTGATAGAAACCCACCCCAAGTTTTCTCAAGTTGCACCCATACCCTCATACCTCATCATTTCTATCCCTTCAACCTCTACCTCTTCTTTGGGTATTTCGAGTCTTCACCACCACATCACCGTAGAAGTCTGATAATTTGTTTGCTTTTTCTATGGCCTAGAAGATGAATTCGGATAAATTAAACATTATGGCTATTGAACGGGCTGTGGAACCAATGATAACACTCTACATCAATGATAAAATACATGAATCCACAGTAATCATTTCCACAATTTAGACTATCAAATGAGATATTAAAAACATCACTACTCTGAAAGGTTTGATCTTCTTGGAACTCATCCGTTTTTACTTATTTGGTTAAGTAGGTTTAGTTAGGCAAATGTTTTCTCAAATAAAACTTATCCAAGTAAGCAAGTTTCCACCATTCGTGTATGCTATCAATTACTTTAAAGAAAGAGGTGAGAGAGAGAACGCTAATCGGCTTTAACAAGTTTGCAGGTAAGTTATTTATCCACGTCACAGGAGGGTATCAATTATCCGGATAACTAATACTCTTAGGTATCCTCATTTCCCATAGGACACAATTTAGCAGCAAATGAAGGTAGGTATTGTGGTCAACTTACTAGTTAACCAACTTACACCCCACTAAATACCGACAAACGAATGGGGCTTGGTCCCTTGATTCTTTAGACCTAAGCCACTCTCATGTATTGTCCTAACCTTCTATAAGGTGACTTTTGAGAAATTTCCCCATCTCATCCCAAACTCCACATATTGTTCAATGGAATGGAGAATTGTAAGCACACTAATCATATGTTTGGTTTGAAAGAAAAGGAAACCTCTTCCTTTAATTGACTCAATTTCCTTTCCTTTTATTTCAAAACCAAACACAACCTAAGGAAGACATGTAGAGAATGAGCCTCCATCTATCACTTTCTCTAACCTGAGAATCAAGAAGAGGATTTCTTGCATGTAATCTTAAACCTGCCACACTTTGGAATCCCCCCTTGGATGGACCATGACTTTCAGGTTGCCATAAAAGAAATTAAAATTAGGGATAATTATTTATAGACAGATAGATATAGATATAGATATAGATATATCATTTAAGATGGTCCCACATAACTCAAATAGGTTACCTATTAAGGGGTTGTTTGGCATCGTTGTCGTTTCTTGGAGCAATGGTGCCACATCAATGCCACATTGAAAAAAACGGTGCTCTAGGAAACGGGCATTTGTTTAGAACTGTTTTTCTATATAAAAAAAAATAAAATAGTGCTCTGAGCCATGCCTCAGAAATCGGGAAGCCGTGGCTTGGAGCAACGCCAAATTTGGCATTTTCTGGAGCTGTAGCTCGTTGCTGTCAACAGGGCAGTGATGTGGCATTGGATAATAGGTACCAGTGTTGAAAACATTTCCTGGAGCAGTGATATCAAACAGAAAAAGTTGTTGTTGCTCTAGGAAATATCCTACCTGGCCAGCAATGATTCCAAACAAAAATAAGAGCACCGTTTTCAAAAAACAGTGCTCCAAGCCACCCATCAGTAACACTGTTTTCTGAGAAAACGGTGCTACAACTGCAACATTGATGCCAAACATATACTAAGAAAACATTTACGGTCCTTTTCTTTTTTATAAATTTTCTTCTTCATCAATTCTCTCTCTCTCTCTCTCTCTTCTTCTTCTTCTTTTGCTTCCTTTTAGAAGGGACAAACCTAAGAAACTAGATAATGGAATTAGCGATTTTTATAACGGACAAATAGGGCAAAGGAAAAAGTGCTTCAATCGAGTGATATGTGGGTGTATGTAGGACAGGAAAGAGAGGAATGAAGAAAGAAAAATAAAGAGAGAAAGAAGAAAAGAAGAAAAGAGAGAGAGAGAGAATAGCAAGTTTTAAAAATTAAATGAACAGTTAAGGACACTTTGGTCTGTAAGTATTATAACTTTTGAAAGGTCAAAATATATGCAAAGCCTTCAAAAAAAAAAAAAAAGATATATGTAAAAAGTTTTTGAAACTAAAGGAAGTAGTTTCCTCAAACGTAAGTAATTATCCTTAAAATTATATATGGACCTTAATTTCCTTTTAACCTTACGTCTTTTTCTAAGCCCGTCCCATATAGACTTAATAGGGACGATTTGATTAGGCCCAAGAACAATGCATAGTTACCAGTAATTAAAAATTAACTAAAAAGCTAGTCATTAAAGATCGATAAAATGAGGTTTTTTTGCTTATTTTATCAAGGATGTATGAAATCTGAATACGATCTAGTTTTCTTTATAAGACCATTTGAAATGGAATGGTTTTATTTTATTTTTGTGTAGCATAAATCAATACAATCATCACTTGAAAATTGAAGAGGGTGTTTCACAAAATCAATGTTCTTTCTCACTTGTAGAAATTGTTACATCAGCAAAAAACAAAAGCATGGTGAATTATGTTTTTGTTTTGAAAGACGAAAACAAATTGGTTTCATTTCATGACTTTGAAACCATCAATATTATGCTTGTTAAAATAAAACTAAATATTGTAGTACAAATATTATGTTTTTTTAAACCCCAAAGTTTGGAGGGGCAGTTACCTTTAGAGTACACATTCATGATGGACCCTTGCACCAAACCACAATGAGCTCTCAAATTAACCAACTTAACCCATTCATCACCCACCCAAAGAAAATAAGGGTCCGTTTGGTTTACAGGCGGAATTGGAATTGAAATCCTCCAAAATTGGAATTGGAATGGTCTATTCCCATAATCTGTTTGGTTCAAACAGGAATGGGAATGAGAATTGAAACCAGCAGGAATGATATTTCATTCCCAAAAGAGGGATAAGGAATGACCATTTCCTCAAATGGGGGAATGCCATTCTAGCAAGAATGAGAATGGGATTCTGATTCCGCCTAACCAAACAGATGAAATCGGAATAGCCCATTTTGATTACGATTCCAGACCCCTATTCTTGCAAACCAAACAAGACCTAAATTACCTTTATTACAAAGCAAAAAAAAAAAAAAAACTTAATCAATACAAAGAAGTGGAATATTAATATAATCGTCACGAATCAGCTGTCTAAAACTAGCTAGTCAGAATGTTGGATTTCCAACATCAATACCTAGGAATGTTGCAAAGAATGTGCTTGATTCTTTTGGAATAGTAAGCAATTGATCAAAAGACGAGAGATTATTTTGTAAGAGTAAGCAATTGAACTAGAACCCATTATTACTCTCCACTCCTATCTCAACAATTCCATGATTGATGCATAAGAGAATACGATCAAGAAGAGTAAGAAACTCCGTCCACAAACAGGTTGCATGGCCATAGAAATTATAGAATGCAAAACAGAGAGCACCAGAATCATTTCTAACAATTATAGTACATACATTACATGATTTATGGAATGTGCATGATATTAGATAAAATATTATTTAAACAAAAAATTCAAGAACATATTTTCTTTTTCAGTTTTGGAAAGAAAAAACACATAGGCAACTAAGAATTAGGGGTATAAACGGAACGAATTCGAATCAGATCAGGTAATATCCGAATTGAAATCCGATTAAAAAATTCGATATTCGAATTTGATTCGAGATCCGATGGATATTGAAAGTTAATATCTGATTAAATATTCAAATATTCTATTCGATTTGAATTCGACTAATTAATTATTTTAGGTAATTAATAAATATATAAAATAAATATTTTATTTATATAAAGTATATAAATATATAAATTATTTATAAAATTTAATTATTATATAAAACATTTAAAAATTTTATATATTATATATAAGAATTAAATAATCGATCAAATTCGGATATTTATCAAATCGAATTAGATCATATCCGAATTCGAATCCAATTAGCTATTCGATATAAATAGGATATCCGAATTCGACCAATTAAATATTCGAATTATCTGAATCCGATTCAATTATGCCAAATCTCAAACTCAAAATTAAATTTTCGAATACCATTAACACCCCTACAAAGAATATATTTTCTGTATCTTTATTTAAAA